CATTTTTATTAGACTGTATACTTGCCTAGTATTTCCGACTGCTAAGCTTTTTTTTTTGGACTTCTTCACACTACTATTGTATCCAGTGTTCTTTATCTTACTTTTGCTGCTTTCTTAACTCGATTGCAGCGGTCTTCTTTGTATTTTTGTGCCTTGTGAATCGAATCGTTCTTAGCCTGTCTCAGTTTTGCTTTTTTCATCTGTAATTTTAATGTTTCCTTAGATATCCAAGGTTTCTTGATTGTTTTCCTAGCAGGTATTGTTGCATCTGCTGCTTCTTTGATAGCACCTTGTATTATTCTCGCGTACTCAACTAGACTATTTCTTGAATCAATTTGTTCTATACTTTTTGCCTGTTCGTTACTGTAACATAGTCTTATCCTATCATCTTTTAGTTGGCTCATATCGCATCTTGCACATTGCTTTACTTTATTGTACATGTTTTTGAGTCGCAGTCTTATATTACACAGTACTAATGAGTGGCCCGAGCAGATGTCGGCGATACTTTGGAATGTCCTACAGTTGATGACCGATAATCTCCATCGTTGCTGGGTAACGATTAGCTCTGTCATATTTTTATGCACACCATCTGGTCATGTCCAAGTCCATTTTCGCTGTGGTTCCTACTGGAATCTCGTGCTGCACATGTATAGATTATATGCTGTTGTGAACTACAAGAGACGCTCTCCTCTTTCATTTCTGTCGCCATATCCATATCTTCCCGTTACCTGTTTCCAGTCTGTATTATCCCTATTAACTTTTGCATTCCAATCACCTGTTATGATAACTATATGTTTTCTATGTATTTTCATTAATGCATCCTCGAGTCTGTCCTGTAGAACTCGTCGATTTCGTCATCTGAGGACGCGGATATTGGTGCGCATGTATGTATTACTGTGATTTTTAATGGTGATGCTGCATTAAATCTAGCTATGATAATTCGTGAGCTGGCCGGATTGTATCCAATTAATGCTTTTCTGGCTCTCATTCTTGACAGCAGCAGTCCCACGCCACTTGCGTGTGAGTTGTCTTCTCCTGACCAAATAGAGACTTCTCCATTTGATGTTTCGCCGTTTTGCTTATACAGCGCATTTCTGAAATAGCTACTGTATCGTATCTGAACCTTTTCATCTCGTTTCTTACCAATTCTAAATTTCCAATTGCTCATAATTTCTGAACTGTCCATGTTCCAACCGTTAGTGTTGTTTTGACCAAGGGGGAAACAGCAGAGACTTCAGTCGTGAAGTCCCATGAAATCTTGAAAGTCTTTCGAAGTCTTCTGAAGTCTCTTTGAAGTCTTA